GTAGTTATAAATATTCGGATTCCCTTTTTTCGTAAGTTTTACAACCATAAGGATGTCTGTGATTGTTTGTTTTGTATGTTGCTGCTATTTCTAGTTTGTATTGGCCCTGGCTGAATAGTTGTACTGAGACTTTTATGTTACATAAGTTTCTCCTAAGCCCTGTAAATATAGAGCCTGAGTGATTATTTCTTTGCATCCCATACGTGGTAAGATAATGTGTATATTGGTGGACGGAGATCATCATTTTATATGCAAACGGCGCATATTCTTGAACCAGTCCTATCTGCCCCAGGTTATATTACCTCGGGATCCACCAACCATCCCCATTTGGCCATTTTGAGCAGTCAGAATGGTTTCTAAATAGGCCCTTAGATGCATTCTTGTTGTTTATCCTTTTTTTAGTCTTTATCTTATTTTTACATTCCTTTGTCTTAATCTCTTGCTGTAATTGACCTCGCAAAAAAAATTTTTATAATGCCAACATTGTCCTAGCTATCACCGAATTTACAATGCAATACCATTATCAACCTCACATTCCCACCACCAACAATAACGATACTGTTTCCATACATTTTTTCATCAGTCATCATCATTAGGAAGCCATCTACTCATTCGCATGGTTGACGCCCAGTTTACATACACCTACGAGTACCAAGGTAATGCAGCGCGTCTGGTGCACACACCATTAACGGACAAGTGCTATCTGACACTGACGCAGGCCATGCGGACTGGACTGGGAGGCAACCCATACGGCCCGGCCGGCACTGGGAAGACGGAATCGGTCAAAGCGCTCGGGGGTCTGTTAGGACGTCAGGTAAAGCCCAGTAGCTCCTGGGTCCTGTGGAATTGGGATGTTGATTTAACGTTTATGGCAAAAGGCTTTCTTGGTTCGCCTCGCTGTATCATACAAGAAGGGGGCTTTTAGCTGGAAGGACAATTGTCTGACAAGCTAGTTGGTGGGTTCTATGCAGACCTTGGACCGCCATTCTTCGGAGTACGTTATTGCAAGTCTACAAGACAATAAGTCCTTGCTGCGTAAGCGGAGTCCCAATTGTCTCTGTGGGAGCGACCATTCACTGCTTAGCCTTAATTCGAGGCCTTCCTAAGGCTCCAACTTAAGTTGGATAAAATTAGGTTTTAAATGAGTCTCCTTGGGTCACTTATGATGATGTAGCAGTGATAGTTGAATTTTCCTCATTAAAAGCCCCATGTTGTCTTCGAAATTAGACTTTTATTGCCTTTAAACAGGCATTCTCATCCAAGCTGAGCATCACTTTTGATTCCCAACAAGATTCAAAGCCTGATCAACAGCAAT